GAGATTAGGATGGTACTATAAGCAGCTAGCTAAAGTGTTTGTTGGTGTGTGTGTGTGTGTGTGTGTGTGTGTTTTGTGTGTGTATGTTTGACCTGAAATTCATAGCTCGAGTCACAGTAACGATAGCGCAGTGGTTCTTACTGGATGGGGACACAAGTGGTACGTGATAGGAACTGATAACGACTGATAATAGCTGATAAGAGGGGCTAGAAAGCGAGCATCGCCAATTTCGTTTTGTCGTTCATATTGGTACTAGCGTCTATACTTACAAGTCTTATGTGGGGCGGTCCCGGGACATTGGTGGTACATGAATGGAAGCGATAGCAACTGATAAGGGCTGATAAGATGCGTCTAGACGCAAAAGTCGTTTCGATTACCCTTGCTCGCGTAGGCACCTAAGCTGTCCATACAAATTCTATTTGTAGTGGTACGTGCACATTGTATCGACATGACCAGCTTTACTTAATAGAAGTCGATTGCATAAACTCAAATCAAGTCTTCAGCAAATGATAAGTTTCATTCTAATGCAATATCAAGAAAGCCCAAACTCATTAAACCGCTAATCCTTTCGGGGTTCTAAATAATGGTGAATGTAAATAAATGATAAGCCTTAGCTCCTCACTTATGTAAATAGGCATATTTCATTTTCATTTGAGACTGACAGCAAGAAAATCCTATTCACCGCTAAATTATCTGAATTCAAGAAGAATGCTGGATGTTTACAGTTGTGAGATAAATATGCCAGTTCAGTTATCACGCGTATTCTCGATGGACTTCAGCGAAACTGGGAAAGGTCTAACACATTCAATAGTGAGGTGGTTAATGGAGTACCTCATGCTGATATTCCATGGGTCCTCCAGTTTCGCTAAAGCCTGCCGTGTGATGCGCGCGATAGCGGGCGAAGCAAAACTGGATAGATTATAGTGCACTGGCAAGATTAGATACATATTGATCGACTTGCCTGAAGAATCCTTCTACTCTTCAACGATTCCAATCGATTTTTACCTACCTTGTCAGCGCAATATCCTACTCTGCCAATATCCTAATGATCTATCGCCCACTATCCTAATCTCCTTTGTTGCGACTGTGAACGCGGCCTAACAGCATCGTTCGCTTTTTAGTACGAAAGAGCATGCCAATTAAAACCGCCATATATTTTTTATCTAGATCATGCGTAACACTGTCGCCTTAAAGGCAGAATTTGCGATGAAAAGTTAGCTTTTTGGAAATAAGGAGTAGAGGTGGTCAGTGGAGCAGGGATGAAGAAGAAACCATTTGAAACGGCCCGAAACCCGTAAACGGGACCTCCTTCCTTGCCTGTTGATTTGCGCATTGATGCGACTCTCATTGCTGTGCTCTCTTCGAAACTACGATCCCTCTGCTATCGCCACACATAGACCTGCGGCGGTGATCAGATGGTCGGTGGGCGTAACCCGCCAACCGCATCAAGAGTGAGTGTTAGCGCCTAGTCGTTGCTGAACCAATGGCCGTCCCCAAACATCATTTGAATCTTACACTTCATCAGTACACCTTTGAGTTGGAGCAGAAATTTAATTTCTGGAGCCTACGGGAGAGGGTCTTTTCACGAGGGTCTTTTCATTGCTGTCGAGCCAGTATCGAAGAACGGAAACGAAACCATATGGGGTGCTGTCGCATGGCGCTGGTGACAACACATTTGTAACTGCGTTAAATATGTATCTTTTGCTGAGATGGAACTTATCATGTGAGAATGGAACATCAGGTCCCGAGTGGGGATTTCCCCGAGTGATTACTTTGTGGGCGTACTCTGAAGATTTTGTGTCAGCGAATGTCGGAGCCGCAAGTTACAAATTCGTAGTGGCTATCGGATACTGACAGCTACATATATTTCACCACTTGAAGAGTGCTGGGTTCAGCAATCTGCTCACGATGAAGGTCATCCTACGAGTTGCAGCCTACAGATTACTTCCTCGTCTTTTCTTATTCGAATGCTCGCACAAAACCTCTAAAGGATGCCTAATGTGAAAGCAAACTGCCTACTGCTTTCCTACCTGTTGGTAACGTTTCAGGAAACTTGACCGATAAATTAAAGGGCACCACCCCTTTTTTTTCGATAAAAGCAAACGTGATGTAAATGACGACTTTGTTTCTATCATCGCTGAGGGGATGCTTTATTAATTACAAGGGTTTTCGAGGTCAAATGGTTACGAAGCCGCTTTGCTTCATTCCTGAATCCGAGCACCGCCTCGCCAGCACTCACAAATATTTTCGAGCGAGTTGCAGTAAGTAAATGAACTAAATTTCCGCTCCAACTTATGGGTGATGTGATGGAATTTCCAAAAAGAAAACTTGAGGCTCACCGCTGATCAGGAGTGGACCTTGGGTTTTCAAAGCGAACGAAGTTCGCGCTACGAAAAGCTATAAACTCGCTTTTTGTCCTAGCAAGTCACACAGGTTTAGGCGACAGTCCGGGTGTTGCGATTTTGATCCTTACTAAAGCCGGGACAGAAAATTTGTAGCATTTATCTTCACAGAGGCTATCCAGACGGTTGAAAATTGACAATGAAAAGGTAAAGAGTCTAGTAAGAATTTGGTGGCATAGCTCTATATTTTCAGCTAGTTCATTTTTTGCAGGTTGGTTCTGCGGATGGCGGTTGAGGTACATCACGTCAGTCCATTTATGACGGTCCCTGCTGAGCGCATTTGCTACTCTTTTGGGGGTGTTCTGACATCTTGTTACAAATACTTTTAATGGTTTCCGCCTGGGCCCGATTATGTGCGCCATTTGCACAAGATCACGCCAACAGGCCTTACAATCTATCTATGCAATTCCACTTTTTCGAAGCTTGTTGGCTCTAGTCATGATCGACCTACCTGCTTGGCCGACGTTTATAGGTTGTTGCGAAGAATACTTCCTTCGTTGCACATCGCAATGCGATTGAAAAACGGTTCGTTTTCACTGGATGAGAGAAATTAGGAGAAGGACAGATCGCTCTTCGAAGCCGCGATTTTTTGCTGCACCCCCTTATCCGACCTTCCCGCACTTTTCAACCTACTCGATGTGACTTGAAACCACAGATCAGTCGATATAAGAAGCAAAGTCCATATCTCGAAGTTTGATTAGGTGTCTGTATGGATTGACGTGCACTTGGTAGAAATTGCGCGGATGAGCTGCTTTCAGTATGCACTTATGTCCAGCGAAGTATGTTAGAAGCAGCTTATCCATGCGACTTCTATTCAGTGCGACGGCGGCCACGTCTAATCAATAGACATACCTATCAGTCTTCGATTATCCTGTAATCTCAGCTGAAAGGTGCGCACTGCTCCTGCTTGACCGCTATGTAAAACGTTTCGTTCTTTCATGTACACAATGCCGCTTTCCTTAGGTCCAAGCTGGACATTACGTTTGTTTTACGTTTTAATGCGGGACAAGTGAAATGTACGCTGGGCCAGTGTAGCCTGACAATGAATAGCTGAATTGCTGCTGCACATCATGAACTTGGTCATCTTGTTTTAGAAGGGTTGTGCGAAAGCTAAGGGTAGACAGTTTGACAATTTTTCATAAAAATTATTATTTGCGATATTCATTAGTAGTGTAACAGTACACTTGTCAGAAAAATGTACACGTTTGGTAATGATGGTTTTGCTCGCGCCCCTGCTTATATCACTGTGTTTTTATGAGTTCCTAATGATTGCAGTCTGGTCGTTCACCGCTGTCCTCCCAACAGCGATCCACAAGTTGATCGCTATATTCAGCCCAAGATTTCCTCAACTTATCCTCGTCTTTGTTTGCGTATTGACGGTGCGTTGCCAAGTCCAGTCGATCGTGGTAGCGTCGTCAGACTGAGGTATGTATTTTTATTAGATTAAAAAGAAAGTTCCGCAACACTTTTCCCCACTTTTGGTTTTAATTTTATCTTTTTTTGTTTACAATTTCTGACCAATTGGATATCTACCATCACTTCGTCTCCAGTGCTCAGAAATTTTCTCGATGCTCCTCTCCAAAACGTGGTGGAGAGCGGGTACAAAACGCAGTTCACTCGTTTTTAAAGTAAAGTTGATCGTCTAATTCTTCCGTCATAAAGACGGTGATTAAACGTCCAGGGTAGTTGTAACCATTTAGGACTTCACCAGGGGAATCGCTTGGTGTGGTACGAGAGCTCTTCAGCGTAGACCTCTACCTCCCCAACGATGTCCATATCGAAGAATTTGTGGTAGAACTTTCACAACGTTTACTTGTAGGGAGGGTACGAGGCGCTGCAAACCTTTGAAAAATAACGAAGGATTGAAATGCTGTTACGAGTAAGACACGCTGTAGTGATGAATGACATTCCCATTGATGCTATTGGAGATAGTGTTGTAGTTGTCACGAATTCATAGCTATGTAGATATTTGCACTAAACAGTGGTTCCGAGCACTGGCGACTAGTGGTCGAGGTTTTTGGTCTTTTTCGGAAACTACTCGATTGCAGCGCTTATATCCACCCAGTGATTAGAAGCCTAGAGAATGCTCTACCATTTGTTAGTCATAAATGTTACCTACTTGTTTTTAAAAAGAGATAAAAATTTGAAGAAAAGTGTTGCAGAACTTTTTTCCAATCTAATACATAGAGCTTCTTCAGGGGCCGCATGCTATCCTTCTTCAGGAAGAAGGGGGAGGGGGTGGGCGGAAATCCCTTGAAATTTTCTTTTCTTTCGAATCAAGATGGCCTTTAGAAAAGGGCTATTTTCAGTGCTTGTATGTGTTTGAAATAAGCATAACTACGTCGCTGAGAACGAATTAAATCAGAAAGTTTTTTCGATACTCCTCCCAGGGGGAAGGATGGCATACGATCTCAATGGTCTCATATTGGGGTAGAGATTTTGGATAAATGAATAATGGTCAGGCTGGAGATTTTTTTCTGTTACAAAGTGTTTGTGGGTTGCATTATTCTTGGATTTGATGAGTTTCAGGAAACATCTCATATTTTCAGTACTCGTTCCGAATTCCGTGAAGCAGTGCGTAGGAGTTTGTGCGAGGGTATGAGTTTACCACGGCTACCTATCATCGCTGGTCAAGTTGCCATCGCTCCATCTCCTGCTCCACCTCCTGCAAGTGTTCCTCCTCCATCTGCTATTCGTGTTTCGTCGCTCCGATGTAAGTCTTTGTTTCATTTTATATGTAACATTTAGCATATTAGTCGTCACGTTTACAATTCTCATCTTTATAGCCGATGATGCCACCGCATCTCAGCCAAAGAAGTTGGAAGTGGTTTCCAAGCAAGCCACAAAAGTCACTGCCCTGTCAACCAAGCTCGAATGGAAAATCGATCAGGTCATCATTTCTTCATCGTTACTGCGCAGCTTTGATGTGTCACTTGGAAGGAAAACACATGGGAGAAGTGTCTTAAAAACAACGGCTATCAGCTCCGAACTTTACAATCACCTTGTCATGCTAAGTTTTTTTTTGAGGACTAGAGGCCTCGTTGCCTTCTTTGGAGCCTGGAAAGTCAAAGATAAATGCGACCTGCTCTCCAAGCTCTATTTCAAATTTCAGTTCATCCTAAACTAAGGGCCGACGCTGTGGGCGTCGCATTTCTCTTTGAATTTCCAAGCTTACGATACCGACTGGGCCGAAACGTTAGGCTGGTGATGTTGTTGTGACATCTTGGTTGAGAGTTTACAAACACTCCCAATAAGAAACAGATCATATGCCAAGTTCATTGAAAGTTGAACATCGATCAGTCATGAATTTTTGTGTTTGAGAACAGGGGCCGTAAGGTATGCTTCCCCGAATGTTGCGGGGACGAAAGTCCCTTTAAATTTTTTGTTTTGAACGATACTGTTTCTTTATTTTCAATGCATGCTTACTTTAAGCTACACACATATTATGTAGGCCCTTTATCAGGACAATCCCAGTTGGGACAGAAAATTTAAAGGAACTTTCGTCCCCTAACCCTTCGGGGAAGCATACCTTACGGCCCCAGGTGAAAATCAGCGGTTCATCTTTACTAACTGCGCAATAGTTGAATGCGCTGTATGTTATTGAACTGCTTTTAAATAGCGCTCAAGGATTAGTCAAGGACAAAGTCACCGTTTCTATGTGTTTGATAGCAATCCTTTTATCACATGCATACGTTCGTCCACATTCGAAATTAGGACGGGTAACCGCATCTAGCCGCAAAGGCGGTTTTGTAAGGTTGTGGTCTCACGACGTCGTGCTTTGTGTAGTGTTGAAGTGTTTTTTTTGTGGTGTTCGCAATATGTTCATGATGGCCGAGTGTATCGGCGAAACGAGTGAGAAGTCTGATTTGTCAGCGTTTTTGAGTAATAACAAGGAACGTTACTCTTTTCAGTTCGAGAAGCTGATGAAACTCTTCAAAAATGGTCAAAACCTGATAAGTAGGCAGTTCGGTGTGCCTCAAGCTCCGACTGTGTGTTGGGAACTCCACGTGTATCCTAACGGGAAGCGAGAGGAGGATATGAACAATGTGTCTTTTTTCCTGCGTCAAGTTGGGCTGCAGGTAAAGTTTTTTAATCCGAAGTTCTGGAGAAACTCCATTTCGAGTGATAGGGGCACTCCATTGTGATCTCCTAATACTGAGGATAAGGATAAGAGTTTTCATGACATGTAATCGATTCATTTGTAATTACTTCTGATAAGGACCGGTGTAGTGTGGAAGTACTCCTGAGGTGCTTCAGATTTCGTCTGCTGTGGTCCAAGGAAATGGTCCTGAACTAGGGCATGGATATTCTTTCCTATGCGCAAGGGTGATCACATGCCTGAATTTGCCTGGGATGTGAGAAGGATGTGTGCGATGTAGCGCATAAACCGGCCCTATCAGGTGTATTGAAATGAGTCGTTTACCTATTATCTTCTCCACAGGTTTAATGTCCGAAGGAGTGCTACGGATAAGGTCTTCCCCCTTCCTCTTGAATTGGTGTTTCACCCAAAGCTTTTAAATGATAGACGTGTTGAGTTCCATTACTCTTTATGAAATGCGTCTGTGCTTAAGCGTGGTGAGGAACCAATAATGACGGAATTTCAAATCTACGCACTAGATGTGAGCTCTCAAAGAGTCAGTGTATGTCGCGATACAAAGGATTTCACAAATCAACAGGGTCGAGGGAAATTTCAGGTCAGTTTGTTTCGTGAACTCTCAGACTTCGAGTTGCTTTTTTTTCGGTAGCTGAAGAGCGTGTCGGTCATCGCCACTCACACCACAGACATTTTTTGGCACTCTGAAAGATTGCTGGATAGCATGCAGTCAATACCGCTGCCACTTGGTTACTTGGGATACTCCACGTTGAGGATTTGTAAAGCCATAGTTTCGCTTTTGGGGCAAGAGTAATACATCAGTGATCCATACATGTTTCAAAGATGGCCTGCAAATATCAACATCGAGGCTGTGGAAGCTATTTTTTGTTCTCAGATTGACACTTTAGGTCGAATTACGTTTTTTTTTCAGGTATCGCGGGATAAAATGGCAGGTGCGCTGAGAGCTGATGGTTCGCTTCTGTTGATATGCGAGGTCTGATTTTTTTTTCTGCGAAGCTTATAGTTAAGTAATGAATTTATCTATATTTTAACATTGGACGCGCTTGATAAATCTAGTGCCATATGCCTTGGGTGAGGTAGGAATCTTCGAAATTTAATACCTTTCCAAGCGGGACCACCCCTAAGAAGCCAACAGCGTAACATGTGCGCGCATGTAAATAATATCCACTGAAAGTGGACTCATAGAAAACAAATAGAATATTTCCCACATCCCGAACGTATGGCGAGAGAAAATTACTTCAAATTCATCGCAATCACGAGTGCGATTGGCACGGTACCATAATGACGATAGCGATCCGCAAAGTCTGGCACCTGACTGAGGGCGCGCCGTGAAATAAAATAAATGGCACCTGACTAATTGTAATTGTGAGGGCGCGCCGTGAACGAGTCGGATTATTTGCTGTAAATTATGTCAAGAGTACACCCACAGAGTGTGCCTTTGGGCTCACTGGGAAAAATATTAATAGATCCTCTAAAATCATATCATCGGTCAATCACCATATGCTTGTCCTGGTTTTCTTACAGGTCTTTGCTCACTTTGTTCAGGTTCCTAACTTATTCTGTATGTCTGCTGTAGTTTCATTCTTTAACACGATCTTCATTGCAAGGGTGCGCTAGAGATAATATAAAAGCAGATGGTAAGCAAGTAAATTAGGACTGTACAACAAAGATTACAAAGCATTCCAGCCCAGCGTTTCGTGATCTTCCCATCCTAAGTTCTACTCAATGCACCGCATGATTCATGAGCCGATTCTTGTTCAAGTGGCTGTGCCATGACTCTCTGTGCGACTCAACTCTCAAAAACGCTCTCATTAACGCTAAAACAACCAAAAAATGTATTCAGCAATGCAAAACGAAATCTCGACATTGCACCATGTGACGCCTTCGTAGCTTCGCTAGACATACAGGATGATATTCCCTAACCTGGTGCTCAGTACTTCAGTAGTTGGCTGCTTTTGCTTGATTGCTAGCTCTCCTTAGATTCATACATACGAAAGGTACTCGACTCCATGGCTTATTTTAACATGTTGATTGAGGGTGGGATCTTCCCTGACAACTTTTAACTTCGAGGGTTCAAGTTTGCGTCCAGAAATGTTGGACTCATTTCAATAAGGTGCTCAGATATGAGATCATTTTTCGGAGACGTCGCTCAGTTTAACCAGCGGGTTTTTTTTTCCTTGTTTGAAGATGTGGAATTTGCATGTGTGTACACGTGAATTTCGGCTACTCGAAAGTTTCAAGTCATAATAGTAGGTGCTGTGGGTAGAGAGACTTACGTGATCCGTATTTGTAGATGCCCTCTTTCAAGATGCATTAGTATTGCCGGATATGAGCTGAGTTATGAAACGAATTTCATATAGCAAACTACTAAGTTTTTGTTACTCTAAATGGAGAAATGTGGGATGTGGATGAATTAAAATTATTGTTCATTTATCAATAAGCCTAGTTTAACGTCAGGTCGTTTGAGTAACGTGACCTACCTTGATCGTTCCGCGATGGACTCAATAAATTTCCTCATTGTACTGAACAGGCTTGTGGTGAATGCCTTTGATGCATGTGACCGATTCAATCCGTAGCAACCAAACCGCTTAGTAACTCACAGTAATCATAGAACGGTAGTCGATGACTTACGTATGATGGCAATTCGCTGACTGCAGGGAAAATAAGAGAAACGTTGGTCTCGGAAGTCAGATCAATTCAAACGGGTACTTTCAATTAATGGATGCGATTTAAAATCAGTCATGCTGCTTTCGCGGCCTAAAATTACTTCAAGCATTCCAAATGGAATGGCATATCGTTCGCCAATTAGTATTTGTGAGCTGTTTGCTTTAGGTGGAATATTTCACTCCCGGATCGAAGATTTCCGTGGAACCTGCTGATGATGAGGAGTGCACGCTAGAGGATGTTGATGAGAAGGTTGAAATGAGCATACGAGAGAGTAATCGTGAGATGTGGGAATCGGAACTTTTCACAGATTGTGTTATCAAGGTGAGAAGAAATTTGTTGGCGTAGCTCACAAAGCGGAAAAACATTCCACGATTTGGCAAAGTATTGAAAGCTAGTGCATCTTTTCTTCAAGGTTGAATCATTTTTCAATTTGCAGGTTGGCAGTAAGGAAATAAAGGCTCATCGGTGTGTGTTGGGGCAGCATTCTCCTGTATTTCGTTCCATGTTTAATAACGAGTCCATGATCGAAGCAAGAGAAGGGATTATTGACATACAGGACGCGAAATACGAATCGGTTATTTATTTTTGATTCTTTGGCTGTGATAATAATGCTACACGCATCTCTTCTTAAACTAAAGGGGCTGTGTTCTGTTAAGGTTCGAGCAATGGTTGAATTTATGTATACCGGATCTATGGACACCGTTGATTCCAATTCCGTCGACGAAGTGCTGGCAATAGGTATACTTTGATGATTTGCTATTCCAGTTGTAGCCATTGTTTGCCAGAAAAATCGACTTCACTAGCATCCTATCTTTGATTTTAATCGGCCTCGTCAACCTCAAACACTTTTTTTCAAATTCTGGACTGTCTCAGAGCTTTAATGCTATCTTTTAAAATCCATTTTCACCTATTTCGGTGCATTTCTGGTCACCATACGATACGGCTACTTCTCCATCGCTGTCCACTTGTTTCCCAGCATCTATTGTGTCGCTGAACCTCGTCACGTTTTTTTTGTTTTGCGTGCTCTGTCTTCCATGGGCAGTTGACCTCACACATTCAGTAGCCTACCTTTTCCCCAGTCTCTAGAATCTTTTGTAGTTGAGAATTTCCACAACGACTACTGACCATTCGAAATCATATACCACCTCAGCTAAGCCTCTTTCGCCATATCTGCTACCGGGTGCTTATATTTATCTAGAGATTCTGGGTTGATCGCGAATCCAACTCCAAGTTTTCCTAAGTGACGGCCTCGCTCATCGTTCTATGCTCACATTGGCTCTTTTGTGCCCATACATCGTGGCCATCTCCTCATTCATCAACGAAATTGCCTCGGCTTTCCAAAGTGTTCAGCGGATAATACCGCACCACCTCGCAATCGCAGTGTATTAAGTAGTAGGAATGCATAGTTTCCTGCCATTCATATTATTCGTGCGGTATTAATCAATTTTCCTGCAGTATAGTATATGGCACGTTCAACTTTCAGTAAATCCTGACAGTGTGCGCCATATGTTTGTATATTATATATTAGGTCGGTCAAAAAGTATCCGCCGTTTTGCACCTCGAGTAGTCCCCTGCATTTTTTGATAGTTTCTTTCGCAACTATTCAAACCTTGGGTGTCATCTTATAGAGGAAGATCAGCCCTTTCATATTCATACGAAGGTTCGAGGTGATTAAGCTCGTAATATGGCGACTGTATTGAGAAGGAGTGCTGCTAGGAAACGCATAGCGCAAGATTAGCTCGGCAGGCTTGGGCCTGGAGAAATAAAGCTCGAAAGTGATGCGCGTAGTATAAGGAGTGCCCTCAATGTACGGGATTGTAAAAAAGAAATGAAAGAAGCTTATCACTGATACCCAACTACAGGTGTGGTATTAGAGGTTGGGTCTCTAAAGGCACCGAACTCAGCCTGGTGGACGCTGTGAGAAAGCAGGAAAAATGTCAATCTATTCACCGGAGTAACCCGTGCTGGCAGCTTTAGCAGTTGCGACGCGCGTGGAGGTGTGTGCTTGGACTCTTCCTTGCAACAGTAAGGAACAGTTTTCAAGATGGGTAATAGTGTGGGGTAAGACTATGCTTCTGCACGCTAACAGTGAAAGGGTTACCAAATATGTGGACGAAACCAAGCTGCCTTGGAACGCTGCAAAACCTGGAGCGCCTCCAATAAGGATTTTCCTCAATTTTCGATGGCCTAGCTCATTTCAAAGTCCGAGAATTGACTCATTCGACGACGGCCGAGTCCTGTCGTAAAGAGTAGAACATAAAACATAAGAAACTACGGGGATGATAGTCTGCTTCAAGAAAAAATGAGGTCCAGTCCTTCACCACGATAGCGCTAAATCGCCCACCGCAAAATACGCTCTGTAGAATCCATTCAGAAATGGCTCAGAAGTTCTTTTGCTATCCTTTATATAGCCCAGGTACATCTTTCACGAACCACCAATTCCCCGCTTTTCAACATAGTTCTTGGAGGAGAAATCGCGTTGAGAACTGAGGCATGTCAAATGCGCCTTCCTACAGCTTTTAGCCTATAATAAATTAAAGATCTATAGGAAGGGAAGTTCTTAGCATGGGTCTGATTGAGAACAATCTGCTGGACATAGCAGTTTTTATTTCGAACAAAAAGATTGTGTTTGATTGTGTTTCAGCCAAGTTGTGGTGCTTGGGGGGTCAAAACGGCGGATACTGTTTGACCAACCTAATATAATCAAATATACGACATACACAAAATAAATCTCCTAATGCTCCTTTTCAATTATTATTTCATATTTTAGCTGACAAATACGAAGTGCTTCCTTTGAAAGAGCAATGTGAGCGGATTATTTCCAACACAATAACGCAGAAAAACATCACCTCAATTGCTGTTTTTGCGGACACTTACACTGCTACTTTGCTAAAACAGGTACGCGCAAACTAAAAATTGCTTTGAAATAGTACACATAGGGATTTTCAGGCTGTCATACGATATCTTACGGTTCACCATAAAAACATTATTCGAACACCAGAGTGGAGAGCCATGAAAAAGGTAATTGATCAGCATCAAGTACTTGTTGTCAATGTGTAGTTAAGGCAACGCTATACATTTGCGTGAATCGCGCCACGGATTGCGGACTCTGGCACCAGCCTCAGAGTAACCAGCTTTTCATGTGGCTAGTCACGAAATGCTGAAATTTAGTGATTTATCGCCTTATTTCTTAGGATCGTTATGAGCTGGCAAACGAGTTACTCGAAGCAGTTCTCTCGGCATCCGGAGATATGGATGAAGAAAGCATGAGCAATTCAAGCAAAGGACCTGCTAGGAAGAGGGTACGACGGTGTGTAAGCACCAAGCAATAGTCATTTGGTCAATCGGGTCCTGTAAGATTTTGAACTATGTGGGACTTGAATGTGGTTCAAAACAGTTCGAGCCAAGTCATAATTTAGTCTTCGTTTTTTCTTTTCCTAAGGCTCGGGCTTCATTAAACGCTTCTAATGAATTGGCAAAGGAACTCGTCATGCAAATTATGTGATAAATTGTATTTGTGCGTAGTTGAGACCTTTTCAGTGCTGATTAGCATTCCTATTCACAATTCTACAAAAAGTAGCGAATCGGTTTGGTTATTTTTAATGAGCGGAATTAAATGAAAGTGTACTATTACTTGCATTTGACTTATGCAGGTTTTCGTTTTATCAGCGCTCCCATGTTCTGAGGTAGTTGTTTAGAAATTCTTATGCGGCCATTCAAGGGGTGTTCTGCTTTCGAGCGATTTTGTTTTATTACTAAGACGCTGCTATAAGCGGCTTATGTTACCTAAGTTTATTTTTCGAGATATTTTGCATTGATTTTGGATTCTATCGTCCGATTTACAAAGTGTTCCGAAAGTAGTGTCACTCCTATACTTTCGAAGCATTTCACAACGAGTCTTCTTCCATTCATAGCATCCCTCAACCTGATACACTTTTCATTTTGAACTTTCATAATCATTAAGTCATTCAAAAACTAATATCATCACGTGTGTCAAATCCTCGATCGCTTTTCATTGTCTCGAGCAAATGTCGAATCTCATTGGCGCGATCGAGCTGGAAGCGTCTCTGAAGACCGCATTATAAGTTAGATTGTTTATTAGCTGATCGCCATATTTCGATGTAGCAGCCACCGGAATTCAGTGACTGCTTGTTGCTTGAAACGCACACCATGAGCATTTTCCATGTCCACGTCAAACAATAATATTGCCGCACTTCAGTGGTTGATCGAATTGCAATAAAATTTCTCCCACAATCAGCACAACAGTTATTTTGTGAAAGTGTGGTTTGGATCGGATTTGGAAACAATCAAAAATATAGCAGTGACATTACTTCTGAACTACTCTGTAGCTTATGATGTTGGGTTGCTGTCTTTTCATCGAGTATATTTCAGCTATATAATAAGCAAATTTGTTAGAGTGTATTTGTAGCGCGCGTAAGAAATGACCGCATATGACTATTCTAAATGTTTTTTCCTATCAAAGCCCGTTATTTTCACAGCAGTGCGGCATATTTCAAGCCTTTCTAGTACTACTACTATCAGTTAACATTCAAGTAGTGGTTTGATTGTGATTCAGTTTAATCATTAAATTTATCCGTTTTCTAAACATGTCGTATTAGTGTTATTAGATGATAGCATAAGTGACGCCTTATTTTTTGTATCTTTTTTATATTGGAACTCGAAGGGGTGTGTGTTCCATTTTTCATGATGCGTTGTAAATAGCTTTGCTGATATTAGCTCATTTTGTTTCCGGCTTATGTTTTTTGGCTAATGTACTACAATGAAGGTTTTGAATGAATATTGCATTGATGTGAGCGTGTAGATTATCACCCAACTACATACGCTTTAGGATTTTAGTGTTTCCTGATTAGTTCTGTCAAATGACCTAATATTGCGCAGTGATCCCAGATGGATTGGCGAGTTGTGATTATCACTTACAATGTGAATATGCAGCGTGGTGACGAAGATGACATTGAAAAACTTCTTGCTCCAAGCATTGCCATTAAGCCGAGCTTACTAGTGATAGGAATGCAGGTTTGGTATTTGTTTGAAACTACTTGTTTGTGAAGGTATTCATAGTTGAGTCTACTTCGAGTAAGCAGAGTCGACCTTATTGAGTCGAACTACTGTACTCCTGCATGCGGTTGAGGATTTAATCTTGGCAGTGATTACTTTGTCAAGGTGGAAGATTTGGACGGTGAAATTTCATAGATACGATCTCTACCCTGTCCTCTTCCCCGGTATCCTAACAGTAATATCATCTTCCCTCTCACTTCTGACCTCCTTCTGCTTTCCTTGCTGCCAATTGCTGGTGCTAACTTGGTTGGGAATCACCAGTGGCGTGGCGCTCTGCTCGTCTAGCGCTCTCTCAAGCGAGTAGCACAAAGACTGAGCCTAGGTGAAAGGCTCGGAAGTGGGTTCCTCCTTTTACTAGGGCTAAACCTCAAGAAAAGAGGTGTTCTGGGTGGGAAAGTAACACTTCCCACCCAGAATTCCTCCTTTTCCTGTTTCCTCCAAAGTTACTTCAGTTCAAACATGCATAGAGCAAGATCACACTGTCTACGGCATTCCCATCCCTGCCGAGGCTTAGTCGCAATGCTATCTCGCTTGAGAGCGCGCCAGACGAGCAGAGCGTCGCGCCGCCGCGTGGTTCCCCTCAACTAATGTTAGCACTCAATTGCTTTCCCAAAGAAATGTCGACGGACGGGAGTGGATAATCGCAAAACTAGGAAAGGCAGAAAATCTTAAATCCTTCACGAAATATTAGATGTTTCAAAAAGTTCTGTCGTTTTCTGACACTCCACATTTGGATGCTTCATTTTCCTTGAAATCCAGAGAAACTGCCATCGGTATGGATATGTTTTGAAGAGCTTTTCCTGCTCTATCCAATGCTTAGCTCACTTTCTAAACATTTTCTTATAACTTTTTCAAAGCTTTGAATGCGGTATACTCGATGAGCAAGTTGGCATGATTTTTTTTCTAGCTTTAAATAGACCTGAAAGTAGCGGGAACAGTTCAAGATATTAACGATGCACTTGGCCTAGATTCGCAATAAATGTGCTCAGAAGCAGTAGTTCAAAAAGTTATTGTAACGAAAGCGAGAGCCTTGGTATGATAAGAGTGGTGGTCGGATATCGGACGTTGCCACCGATTAGCCAAAAGTTCTGATTGAAGCACTCGTGCGTAAGGACCATAGAGGAGGTTCTGCCCAACCTGGGCGTATATGGTTTGTACAGCCAAGCTATACGGAAGTAGCTGGAAAGTCCAAAAAATTTGATAGGGGCGTGCCGCGACAAATCACCAATTTGAAGGGTCGTCCATCAAATTGTAGCTTGTTTTATGTGATGAAAGCGACTCGTTTCTCTACAGATTTGCGACGTACAATGAAGAAAGGATTCTTCTCTTAGTCCACGAAGCTTTGCCAAAACTCAAACTGTGCTGAAGAAGGGTTATGGCAACTTTCATCAAGCCAGCGGCTGGAAGGCTCGCGCATTCAAATGGTTTTTATATCAACTCGAAAGGTTTGGTTTGACCTGAAATGCATGCATTTGAAATGAAGGGGCTAAAAACAACAAAACTTTTTGAAATACTTAAAACCTGTTACCCCAAATGCTCAGCAAAACCGATCACAATGCAAACTTCCATCAAACTTTGAAGATTTTGCTCATATACGCTCGACTTGCATTACATGTTGGTGGGGCCGTGGAGTGGATCAAGTTTTCGAGTCAGTCAAGTTCGTTTCGTATAGTGTTAGTCATGTACGAAACATTCAGCTGCTCAGAATGTTCGATTGTCTTCCCATTTTCTATTTATAGTTGGAAGCCGGATCGCAGGGCTTAATCTCACCTCACATGTTAGACAGATATCAGGGTCTGCAACGGGAATCGCGTCTTCGACACATACGCAGCAAAAACGCGACTTCCGTCGCTGACCCTGGCCTTTGTTTAGAGTGAAGGTTTTATGCTTTGCAGGAGGTCTCTCATGGCGAGACTGTTGTAGGTGGAACAGCAGTCACATGGCAACGTCAAATATTAGAATGGATGAGCTCAAGAAGTGAAGGTTTAGTGTTGCTTACAAAAACTTATCAGATGACGAATCAAGTGCTTGTCTATCTAAGGCGGGCCCTACTACCGCAGGTGTGTTTCGCTTATGCTTTGCAGGAGGTCTCTCATGGCGAGACTGTTGTAGGTGGAACAGCAGTCACATGGCAACGTCAAATATTAGAATGGATGAGCTCAAGAAGTGAAGGTTTAGTGTTGCTTACAAAAACTTATCAGATGACGAATCAAGTGCTTGTCTATCTAAGGCGGGCCCTACTACCGCAGGTGTGTTATTTTTCAGCAAATTGCCTGGTTTTTCGAAAGTTTAGCCGTCTGTGGCTGCCTTTATCAATTCGCGATATACTGGGTTGCTATAACGCTTGAGGAATTTACGCGATGTTATTATCTATGGTACAGGATTGTTTACTAGGGCAGGCCTTCGGATCGTCACGGCCATTCCAAATGGACGGATGTTGTGGATGTGATGTACACTCCAAACGTTTTCAGAAGCGGTCCCAAAACTACTTTCCCATTCGCTAAAGTTTTCTCTGAGTAGGGTCATGAAGTAGAAAAGCACAGCAATATTTGTCCGGACTTTCCAGCAGGAGGTTGTGGGATCCAATTCCTGGCAAGTTTGTTTTTTTTTTCAATTCTTTCGGAAAGTCTCTCAACAGCGTTGTTTCATCGGGTCTTGCCTATCGTTCCCTCATGAGGACTAGGCGAGCAGTCCCTACGAAGTTTAGGCAATATCTTCCGATGACCGCCCATGGCGCCCATGTCGCACGCCCTGGGCGTTTTTGCACCAAACAAGTGTGATATCTGTGATCAAGGGGTAAAATTACTGTTGGAGCATATGAAGGATAAAGGATTGCCATTGATCGATCCCTTTTGAATGAGGCAATTCTAATTCAATTTCGTATTTACATTCGTAGTGGCATTTGAATGCGATGTGGCCTATACAATGACTTGCGGGGGCCAGCCGATGTACAAGTCAGTGTTTTTATCCTCCCAGACAAGTCTGGTACCAATTAACCGACCCCGGAGGGATGGAAGGCTTGGTTGGCCCGGGCGACTCACGACCCAGGATTTGATCCCCGGACCGCTCGCGTGGTAAGCGCGCCACTTGCCACTACACCACTTCTGCCCATTGAGCCACATTTCTAGTTAATTCTTAAATTTTAACCCATCTTTGAAAACATTGGTCAGGAACCTATCACTAACCCTTCGTCGGTGCCACGCCCTGAGATGAATTCCACTTTCTAGGTATGCTTCTGCAAATCATAACTCCGTATTGATTGCAATTATCATCAGAGTGCGTCATTAAATCCAAATGATTCTCATCACAGCATCAGCTTTTCTACCAGCAATGCTATGCATGTGTGTTCAATCACATTGCCATTTTTTGCCGTAAAGCTTCATTTCCCAATATTTGCCAGTTATCTTCCGCTCTGCTGTTGTTTTAGTTTTCTGATGACGAAAGGCCATCCGAAGGCATGTACAGGTTAGCCCCGGAAGCACTGCCTGAGGAGATAATGGCTATCCTACTTTTTCGAAATCTATCTCGAATGCAATCAGAAATTTGCTCTCGAAGATAGTTTAATCATCGTCACGAATATCTGTCGCACGTGTTTAGCGCAACAGCGCCCAACATTCGCGCTATGAATGCGAACGGTGACCATGGGAAAATATTGCCCAGACTCACTAGAAACGTTTGCATACTTTCCGTGCGGTTGTCTATAGGGAAGGGATGGGAAAGCGACGCGGTTCAAACTTTCTGAAGATGTTGTTGTGAAAAAATAAAAGCGCATCACGGTGTCACCTACGAGTCCGGACAGCGATATTCCACAATAGTAAACACAGAAGGTAGATTTGAGGTTAGCGTGCAAAGTAGCATGTATCACATTTGGGATGGTCGCGACTTGAAGGTTCCAGGGAGATGGCTATATAACGGCATACATTTCATGATTGCAGTTACTTCCATGTCTTTTTTGATCCAATTGTTGTATGTCTGTTCAACTTTGCTGTTCAGGTTAGAAGGATACAATTTCGATTCATTCGCAATACCATGGGCGGGCTCACAGGGCACAAAGGTTCCATTGGTGTAAATATTTCACTCCATGTACGTTTGTCTTCCTATTACTCACTTGTGAGAGAATTGAGAAATTTCTTTTCAGTTCTCGATTTGATTTATACGGGGTGTAAGTAGTGGCGGATCGATATCGGTATAGCATCTCCTTCCTTGTTGATAAATATGGTTAGGCCTAGAGGGCACCTAGTCAACAGCTCAGCACATGGCTTAAAACACGTCCCAAGAAAAATGAATAACGGGCGTTACATCGATATAGTTCACTGAACAGAAGAGCCGGTGGTCCTGATCCTGCCCAACAGCAGCAGAAAGGGTAATAGAATCCCTTATCTTCTTCCGTCCTGCCCTGCCCGTACGATTATCTTTGAACTGTCTGATCACCAGGAACTTGAGGGTCTAACTGAGTATAAAACAAACATAAGACTGTGGATACATAT